ACTACGATTATCTGCTAATGTGGAATACAGATTACGCCTCGAAGATGAGAAAACTACTATGCATATTCTTTGTGACTGTCCAGCTTTAACAACTCATAGAAGAAACTTATTTCATATAAATTAACTGTCACCAAAGCAGATACTTCTTCCTTAGATTTAGTTCTGGACTTTGTTCACAAAGCCTTAAAGAGCTTTATGTAATCAATAGTGAAATTGGTACAATAGGACTCTTCTAGTCGTAGTACCAGCCGTTAAGCGTTTTCTCGTCAAAACCTTTAATAAAAAATAATAATATTTGTTTTAATATATACCATATTAAAGTGTAATAACTGAATCCCTAATAGTTTTAATATTTTTGTTTACAATTAACCCATTTGAATCGAATTAGAAAATTATTTATTATGGCTGTCGAGATCTTTCTCCGATTTAAAACACGATTCGAGGTCTTAATCTCAGTCTTTGGTGATTTGCGAAGAGCAATCACCAAATACAAGGTTTTACGTAGTCGTAGTTTTTTTCATTTTTGTTTTAGAATTTTATTTAATGATTTAAATAAACAAAAAGCAAAACCAAATACAAAACCATTTAAACACCCACAAAAATGCATATAAATTAAATTTTTAAAACTATTTGCTCGTAAAAAAAGATGTTCAAACACAAATTAACCCAGAAAAACAAGCACACATCTATATATCTATCTATCTATCTATCTATCTACCTATCTATCTATCGTAGACGCACTCGTCCTACGTAGCACTCGTAATTAATTTATAAAATTTATAAATGCTCAGTTCTTCAATAGAAGAATCGGAATCGTTGAGAATTGGCTCTTTTGTGTAGAAATCAAAAGAATCTTTAGATTAAATGGTAAAGAAAAACAACGGCAACTTGCGTAGACTTCGAGCGATGAGTGGCGGGACGCGAGCAGCAATACGCAGCACACTGTGGAATACTGTAGAACAGTGCTATTGACCTCAACCACTTGAAAACTAGGTGCTGATTGCTGCTAAACAATTTGGCGGCATTAGGCATGGAAACTTTGATCGGTGTGAGTTACTCAAATAGAATGAGAAATACTAAATTCTTCAAATGCTTTTTTCATTTCCATTTCTTCTGTGCGGTGTTCTATATTCATCACTGGTTTCTTTTTAAATGAGAGTACGTGTCCAAAATTTGGGCATTTCAAAAAATAAATCAATTAATTCTGAATGATTGTATTAGAAAGGAAATAAAAAAATTAAATATTTGTAAGCTAAGCAAATAATAAAGCATTGCAAATGTCAAATATCAGATAAATTTTTGGTTCGATTACAAAGTAAGCAGCAACGAGCACAGCTCCATACCAACCCGTCACATAAAATAAGGTTAATAGTTTTAGAATGGGATATATAGCAATTCCATTGATAACACGTTTCGCTACTACTAGCACTAGTGCCGTTATGATAGGGCGACGCCCCAGGGTTACAGAATTGAAGAGACGCAGATTTTAGTACAATCCTACTAAAACAATCCTACTAAAACAATTAAGTGTGTTTAATCATTTTTTTACTGTAGATAAACATTAAACTGCTAAGTTGTGAAATACATAAGATCATATTGAGCAAAGGATAATAACCAACGGCGCTGATATAAAGTAACTTTTTGATTACATATTACTTTATAAATTCATTTCTTTTTTTACAATTTTTTTTTTAGTTTTTATCCTCTATATAGGATGGAAACCTAGATAGAGGATGCTATAGTAATTTCGTACTGGTAATCATAACATAGTGATAACGGATGTGAAAAATTTTTAAAATCTCTTTAAACTTTGAAATAATAAATAAATTTAAAAGCGTGTAAAATAGATCTGAGCATATTTCATTTACAAGGAAACCAGTTTCCCTGTTTCAGACCAGCATAGTTATTCGTATTATCATGTATCTTTTAAAAAACTTTATTCGAATACTACTAAAAAATACTAAATACCATACAATATAATCGCTTCGTTTATAGTCTTGGACAAACATAGATCGTGATCCGTGACCTAAGGTTTCCAATTCCTTCTCATGTTAACAACTTCTACACTGTCCCTTTGTAAGACTACGCTACCCTACCATTGTAACATCTACAGAATAGCACAGTGCCCCTTTAGTACTCCAATAACCTCATGTACCGCAGGTCTGCCAAAACTCAAAAGGTCTCTCATTCTTTTCTCACCTAGCGTAGATTAGGTGATTAAATTAATAATTTAAAACTATTTTCTTAATTTTTACTAAAAATGTGTTATAGTAAAATTAACAAATAAATAATTTTAACTTAATTTGCTATTAGAGATTTTTTTCGTATTTATAGCAAAAAAAAAAAATAGATGTATGATTTCAAAATAAATGGCATGACAAATTTTACAAATTTTTAAATCTTTCAAAATTTTATAGATACTTTGTATATATGGACGTTGTACGTTGTACGTTGTACAATGAGACTGGTACAAATATATCAGAAATATTTTATGTATTTATAATTTTGATTTGGGTTAGTGACAAGACGTTGTGGACAATCGGACAATCGGACGGACGGAACGGGGCGGGACGGGACGGGATGGACAACGTTGAAAACGAAACTAAATGAAAAATCATTTTTGTTGCCAATTTATCTGATGAAATGCGACATTCTTGTGCCGCTTCAGCTGTCAACGATCTGTCCGTCCAACAAACTCAGACGATTAAGTAGTCAGATTCGACTTCAAATATTTTTACGCTATTTGAAACTAAAGAAGAAAATACTTAAGATTATTTTAAAACACACTACGAGTACGAGCCACCACGGGCAGTTCATTAGCCTTTTCTGAAGGACTTCCAATCAAGACTGTAAGAATGAAATCCACAGTACAAACATACAATTTAGATAAGCACTTTACTCGTAAAATCGTAAAATATATCTGACAACTACAGTCGGAATCTAAATTTAGATGAAAAATAAATAAATTTATTAATTGTTCTGTTAATGTTGCATTAATCGTGCGCATAATTTTTTATTGCATTGTCTAATTCGTTTTTTAGCTGCAGTTAATTAAATGTTTCATAAAATTCTAAATATAAATAAATATATATTTTATTTAATGAGCTATTAAATAAAATTAAAGTAGCAAAAATCAAATTGAAACCATTTCGAAACTCCCCGCGTATATCTATCCATTCCAATGGACATTGACCCACTGTTCCCAATTGAACTCTTTTTTTTTCTTAAAGCACTCATGAGAGAAGTAAAATGAAATAAAAGATAAAAGATTCAAAAAAAAAAAAATAAATTAAACTGAAGTTGAAGTTGAAAAAAAGAAAAAGTAAAATGCTTTCTTTATTTTACAACGCAAAGTAGAATTTTAGTACATTTGTCGAGCACATGTGCTGCGCTCATTTCGCTACAGTCGATTTCATTGCACACTTGCCAGTTGCCTCACTTGCCACACAACGCCACACTTGCATCATTTGGACGACTCTCGATAAACTCACAAGCTCACAAGCTCACACACAATCGACATGGAAACTTTTCAATTTACCGGAAAAGCAGTGAAAATGTAGACCTACTGCGGCCTACTGCATTTTGCTATCGAACCGGCATGTAACAACTTTTCCCTCAGAGTTAACGAGATGAAAAACTGCTGATAAATGACTAAAAAAATGGAGTCCGAAGTGAAAGACACTCTTTGTGATGTGACATCAATATATTCATAAATGTTCCTCATAGACGCATTTAGGTTAATTTCATTTGGTTAAAATTCATTTAAAAGTACTTGAAATTAAGAGAAATATTATCGGAATCTGTTAGTATCACAGGTAGGATACTGACCTTTCTCAATCAGGCAGAAAAGTTTTTGATTTGACATTACTTGTAATAAAGTGAAATAATATCGAAAACTATTAATATGAGTTTACAGAGGGTAAAGGTTGGTAGGAAAGTGGAGTGGGAAAAGACTAAACCTCCTCAAATACCAAAAAAACCTATTTAATGCAACATTTCTAACAATTTTGTGGAGATAGTTGAGTTTTTTTATCAATTGGACATATATTTTATAAGGGGTAAGAGTTTTTACTCCTATCTAACTAATTTATGGACAGAAGATTTTATGAAGTAAGCTCAAAGATATCATATCCTTATGATTGAATCTGGTTATAGGTAAACGTAAATAGGAGTATAACAAGAGTTCAAGAATTTCTCTTTGAACAGCAGCGAAGTTGATAACAGAAGGAATGACAAAGCAGTTCCAGCAAAAACCATTACAACCATTAATTTTATCCTATGTCGATATGAATCAGATCTGAAGTTTTAAATTTGGAACAGATATATCATACCACTTTTGATATGGCTTGATAAGCTTTAATATTTACCTAATGCTGTATCGCAGAAAATGGTCACAAATCAAATCTTCTCTGCGAAAGTATATTTAGCTGGTTCACTTCACTTTAACTGTCTAATATATTCCCGCATTGGCCATTGATTGACCATTGAGGCGAATTATAATCAAAAAAAGTAAGAAGCTCAAGCGTCGAAACACAATCGACGAAGTTTAAAATTAAAAATTAGCCAACCTTATCTTTAAGGTTGGAATAATTATTAATTATAGAGCATCATGCCAGATTTCTGGCATGAACCGTCGGGTCCATTGTGCCCCCTTCTAGGTTTAGAGTAGATCTCTAAGCCTTGTTGCATCAATAAAAAGTAGTATAGAAGCTACTTTATTTCTGATTTAAATAGTTTCGTGGATTGTTTTTTAAACAATTTTTTTCATCATTTTGAAATATTTTCCCTTTCTTATTTGGATGTATTGAATTAAATTCTTGACAATTGTTCTGTTAAACCAATATATGAAGGTACATAAGATCCAGAAATATCAAGACTTATCTCTAAATATTATTTGGCAATTGAATATATAATTATGTTTAAATAAGAAATGAAATTATAACAAATATCTCATCAGATTTTTTCCCCAATATAAAATCATTTTTTGTTTGTCATTACAGCTGTGCGTTATGGTCGGGTTCCAAAGCGTTCACGTGAACTGAATGGTACTCCATCATCTGCGTCTACAGAAAATATTGTGCGTGTAAATACACCGGTCACACCAAATACACCACAAACACCACAAATGTGTTCTGTTGCCTCGCCCTCGGAGCTCGGTTGTAATACCAACTCGAATAACGCTACACCAGGTGTTGTCATGGTGGGCGGTGGGGGTGGCGGCGTGCAATTAGTAAACGATATCGATGCCAATATGACGGGAGTTGTTGGTAGCGGTAGCGGCAATACAAATGAACTAAGCGTCTACGATGTCATTATGTGCGTCTCACAGGCGCATCGTGTCCATTGCTCTTACACAGAAGAACAAACACGAGACTTAATGCAACGGCCAATAGCAGTACCACAAAATGGAGTAAGTGTTTTGATATTAAGTATTTCTTAAGAAGTCTAAAATTGTATATGTAATATACCTATATCAATAGATTGTCAATACTTTGTCGGAGACGTTAGAATTTCAGAAAATCTGGCTTTGGCAACAATTTGCCGCACGCATTACACCCGGCGTTCAACGGATTGTGGAGTTCGCTAAACGGGTGCCAGGTTTCTGTGACTTCACACAAGACGATCAGTTAATATTAATTAAACTGGGCTTTTTTGAAGTATGGATAACACACGTGGCACGCATGATTAATGATGCCACTTTGACTTTCGATGATGGAGCGTATTTAGCACGACAGCACCTGGAAATACTATACGATGTAAGTTTCAATTTAACGTTTAATCCATAGTTATGGGTAAATGCCCACATATACTAAATAATCGTATTAAACAGTAAAACATTGACCTAAGCCATCATTTAAAATTTTGTCTTTTATTTTGATTTTTTGAAAAAAGCAACCCACAAAATATTAAAAATTATTATAGGAGTCTATTCACGATACCACTATGGTACTTATGATATAATAATGGCAGATTCCCTATTCTTATTTACATTTTGATGGTAAGCTTTGTATGCTTACCATAGGTTATTACACGATATAAAGGTTAATATAATAAATTATAAATCATTACCGCAGAAAGTAAAGTAGAAGGAGGAGATTTATATAAATATGAAATGCGATATAAATATGATATATATATATATATGCAATATAGAACGGCTTTGGCAGGACACGAGTTCGATTCCTAGTACAAGCAATCTCAAAAAATTATTTACGATTAAATAAATACCAGAACTATTTCCAAGACTACTGATGATGGGTATTTGGCAATACTCGAAACAGCTGTATGGTCAGCCATAAATTCAATTAATTAAAATAATATGAAATTAATTTTTGTTGTTGTAGTACACCACTGTTGGAAAAAACTCTTTATGATATATGTATTATATTTATATTCAAAAATTCAACATATGATATATATTTTATAAACTGCACTCGATATCAGCTCGCTTGGTCCGTTAGCCCTATTGTATATGAATACTTTAGCATAATAGATCTAATAGGATGCAGTGTTCCACTGTTCCTTCTAATAATAATAATAATTATATACAAATATAAAATATACATAAATTTTCTTGTGATCACGTCACTGGATCCTTTGAGGATTATTGTAACATTCCCACTTTAGTTCCATAGACGAGTAGCAGTAAGGTATCTTTAATTAATAAACAACGATTAATAGAATTTAAAAGATTTACCAGTGTACATCTATATACTATATTTGTTTTTTTTTTTTTTTTTGATATTAACGATAATAATTATTATCTAGGCGGACTTCGTTTTGTCACTTGTCAACTTTGCAAACACTTTAAATGGCTACGGACTCAGTGATACTGAAATTGGCTTATTTTCTGCCATGGTATTATTGGCTGCTGATCGTTCCGGTATATCAGAGCATAAAATGATCGCACGCGCACGTGAACGTATCGCTGAAGCTTTACGCGTACAAATCGTACGCTCTAGGTAAATCCTTCAGATTTTGCTTACTGACTTCATAATAAATAATGAATAATATTAATTAAATATAAATTTGTCTAACAGAGCCGGATCTACACAAGCTTTACAGCTTATGCCAGCTCTTGAAGCGAAAATCCCAGAGCTGCGTTCGCTAGGCGCCAAACATTTCTCACATTTAGACTGGTTGCGAATAAATTGGACGAAGCTACGACTGCCACCACTTTTCGCTGAAATATTTGACATACCGAAGTCGGAAGATGATCTGTAGATGGAAAGCTGCGATTATTTTACACATAAAAGCTTGCGAAAGCTTTATCATTGCTAAAAGCACGTAGGCATTACAAAAACACGAAGGCTGCAAAGTTCAACAATTCAAGAGAAGCGGAAATAATATAATGGATCCATTCATAGGCAGGAAAGATAACTGTGAAAAGTAAAAGCGGTAAAGAAAAGAGACAGAAATAAAAGAAAGAACAAAGCAAATCATAGAGAGAGTAAAATATCTATTATGAATATGTTGACAGTATATATAAGTAATTAGTTAATTTCATAGTAATTCATATTGAAATCGTTAGTAATTGTCAAATTGTCAAATTGTCAAATTGTCATTAAGTTAAACATTCGTAGAACTCGTATTTGAGGTTAGCCGTGAAAATTGTGGTACACTAAGAAAAATAACGTACGAATCATAAGAGAACAAATAATTTCAATGAAATTTAAATGCGCGTAAAAAATAACTAAAAATTGTGATTTTAAACTAAAAAAAAAACAGCAAAATTATTTAAAACTAAATAAAATACTCCAATTATATTTACAATCATAATAATTTTTTAATTAAAGTATTTTATTATATTTTACTATTATTACTTATATATAAAATTTGATTCTTTTTTGCTAAAAATTTTGCAAAAAATATTAGATATATATATAAATTAAAGAATTAGTAAAATATTTATAGTGAAAAAACCAATTTTATTACAACAAACAAAAAACGCAATATTTTTTATTATTATTGATGTTAAGTAATATATTAAATTAATTAGATAATTAAGTTTATTGCTTATATAATAAAATTTATAGTAATATACAAGTTAAAATAATTTTGTTTTATTAAACAAAATTTAAAAAAAAATTAATAATAGTGTATATAATATAAAGCAAATATTAAAATAATATCGGAACAAAATCTAAACATATAGTATCTACTCAATTATATAATCATAAAAAAAAAATAACATAACGAAGCAAACTAAAAGGCCAGAATTATATAATAGAAGATAATGGAAAGTTATATACTATATAATGAAAAATTATGTTAGAAAAAAAGAGCGCTTTATGTTCGTTAAAGACTTGAATTTAAAAATGAAATAATATTTAGGAACGACATATCCATATACTCATATATTATTTATTTCATTTCACATAAGAGGAGAATTAGTCTAATAACAAAAAAAATAAAAAAATAAATTGTGAAAGAATATACGAAAAATCAGAAAAAGCTCGAATTAATATATAATGAATGGAAAATTAAAATAGAAAATTAAATAAAAAATTATTAAAAAGACCTTGCAAAGCAATTTAAAATTTTAAACAATTTTAATCAAAATACTTTTAATTTCTGTTTTTAATTATTAATATATGTCAACAATTTGCTCTTATAAGATGAGATGAACTATTATGACTTGTATATAAAACATAAACAAAAATTTTATTAAAATTTTATAATATTAAAGCAAATTTATTGTTGATCTTTTGTATTTTGTTATTGCAGATATAAGTTATAAGTGAAAATAAAAAACAATTCTAGTAATACAGTAGCTATATAATTAATTATATATTATACATATTATACTCGTAATTTCTTTTTTTAAAATAAACTCCAAGTTTCTTTACACAACCAATGTTTTACATACAAGAAATGAACTTATATCAATTTATTTATTTCATTTACATACATATATATTCATATTAAATACTTTTACTATTTTTTTTTTTTTGGATCTTTTATATTGATTTTTTATTTTAAAATAAAAACATTCTTTAATCTATTTTACACTCAAATCCTTCTTCATTTTGTTAATTGAAAACGATAAAGAATTTAATCCTTATTTAAGCAAAGAATACTTATCAAAAATAGAATAGTTCTTCCCTTCCCTTCAGTAAAGACTACCTTATAAAAATATATTATTACAGGCCAGAATGTACTATTGCCAAAATAAATTTACTTTGCATAACCTTGGTTGTCAACCCTGTATACTTGGGAGTTTATTTTAGCACAGTTTGAGATTTGTTGTTCCATAACTTAATTGGAGACCTAACAATGCCACCTAAATGGCGAAGGATTTGTCTGCCAAGAACTGTGCAATCACAAAGAATGTGTTCTGAGCTTTCCATGTCCATTTCGCAAAGTAAACAAAGCAGACATTAAGGACGGAAATAGTTCAAATTATTTAAGTGATACCATAGATTGCAGTGACGTATAAAGTAATCAGATAAAATCATTAACCCTGTTTTTTATACACAACAGTTTCATTTGAACGAAGGAATAAATGTCTCTCTTGATATGTCTATCACTCCAGTTCCAACCGCAAATAGTTAAAGTTTCTGTGACATATTTCACTCATTAGTATTTGATGGGATCAAACATTAGCAGTTCGTAATACTGAGTCTATTGATGGACTATATTTTATCATACACATACTTCACTAAATAAGATCAAGTTAACTTGAATAATAATTCTATTGAATATAAAGTTTTAAATGCAATATTGTATCTTTTCTATGGTATTATATCCTAATTCTAGTGGCATAAAATGACTTAATAGGAAATAATATTCAAATTCCGTATTTAAGCTTAAAAGTGAATGAGAGAGAAGAGGATGCAAAAGAGAAAGTATAAATTCTATTGTCATTTTAGTTGAAAGTAATCTCCATTAAAATTATCATATAAGTTATTTCGACAAATTATTAACAAGATATACACCGATATTATTGTATGTTTATAAAACATTCTATTTCAGACCAGCTTTTTCTTTATTATTACTGTAGTAACTCAAGAAGGAAACCTTTTGAAACAAAGTTTCCGTTTTCAGAACCTATCGATTCTACGTCCCGCAGCCAATTATATTTTTGAGCGACGAAATATCGCTTACTTATCCAAATTATGAACTCAAAAAGCAGATACTCTGACTACTTAAGTCTAAGATCCATATAGATCCATAAACTGTATGTTATCTACCTTTAAAAGTTTAAGAAAACATTGATTGTCATATAAGAAGTGTGCTTCAAAACAAAGTTCCAGGTTTTACCAAGTCCAACTTAACGTTACACTTTTTTGTTGTAGCATACAATCTCTTAAACTAAATCTCAATCTTAATGACTTCTAGTTCTACTTCTTAAAATCATTAATTTTATTATATATTAATTTTATTATTAGTATAATAGTATAATAGTATCTATAAACAATAATATATATGTATATAATATATATTATTGTTTATAGATATATTAACATAAACACATTCCTTTTTTTCTAGATATCTTTGAAGTTTTTATTATTTTGGAATCATTTTTGTTATTATCTTTTTATATTATATAATAAATGAACCTCTAAAATAAGTTTAAACAAAATTGAAATCTATAACTAAGATTTATAATTTTATTGTCCATTGTTTGAAAAAAATAGTATATGTAATAAAATTCCAAAAATTTTTCATTTTAAAAAACTTAAACCTCCGAATACTGAAGTCAAATTTAAGAGCAGTCATAAAATATTAGGAACACCTAAAACAAATTTTAAAAAAATATATCCTTATGGTTATGATTATTTTTAAACAATGAACTTAATTCACAAAAACTTAATCTTTTTTCTTTATAAATGTGCGTGTTGACCTCTGTTTTAGCTCAACTGTATGCGATAAAACTATAGTAGGTGGCCACAGTAGCTAGAAATGTCAAAAATGAAATTGAGTACAAATTAGTATTACCGAAGTATCTACACATATAGATATCATATCAGCTACAAATATATATACAGCTGGGTACTGCAATTTATGCAATTGGACTACAGTGAGAGTATTCTACTAATGCTGGTTAAAATGTGGATAATCCAAAGTATGTTTACACTACCGCAATTTATTTTACATATTTATAGCAATATGTGTCATTTTTTATAAAAAAAAAACTAATTAAAATTCATACATAAAATGTAAAGGTTCAAAAATTGTACGTGTAAACAGAGTACTTAGACTTATCTATACTATGGTTGTAATTCTATAAAGAATCTAATTTTTATAGATTCTAAGCTCATTCTAAAAGTAGATCAAATGAAGTCAGATCTATCAAATAAAAACCTTCCTTGCCTTCCTTAAAGCTTTCCAGAGATAATAAATATAAACATAGTATAACACTTACTTATAAATCTAATTCTATAATATAATTTAGTTTCATAGATTTTCGATCTACATTCAAAAGTTAGATCAAATGAAGAGACATTTACTATCTTTCTAAAAACATAGTATAAAACCTACTACATTTTATGGATTTAATTCTATAAAGAAACACATTCGAAAAGTAGTTCAAATGAGACAGATTTATTATAGAAAGAGATACACGGTAGGAAAGTCGTATATAAATGCTTTTATATATCCTTTACTTTCCATTTATTTTGTGTAAACAGTGTTTGAAGACTTATTCCTGTCATTTGGAGATATCACTTCTTTCGAACAATGGATGATAGTTCTTTGATCAAATTCCTATCCAAATTCCCTTGGTTTTATTTTAATACTTTTTCAAATAATTTATAAATTAAATTAAATTATATGTTATTTTTATAGATTAATCAAATTTCTTCACATATATGTCATCTGTATAGACACTTCTTAATCTTCCATTAGAATTCATACAGAAAACAATACCAAATGATCCACAACATTTACATTTTGACATTGACATTTTGCTTCCTCACACAACTTCGTTTAACTCTTAAATCCTAAAATAAGATTTTATTAATATAAATTTAGATTATAAGTTGAAAGCAAATATATTTGTAAAAAATGCAAATAATTGTTGTACAATCATTTTTTGACTAAATTTGAATGAATTGGTGCTAGAAAAGCGTGTTAAGTTGAATATCCTTTCATTTCGTCCGAACTCCAATTTAATTTAAATTCTTGTGAACATTGCAAATGGGTGCCCAAACGCACCCATGGATCGGACAGCACTTTCAGCGCTACGGAATATGTTTAGGTTGAATAAGTTGGCTACAAGTTAAGGTAATGAATCAGTTTTCTTTATTGTTGATATGAAGGGAGAGAAATATAAGGAATCTATAAAGTATCTAAATGTTAATATTTTCTAAATTAGTAATTCAATAATTGAATCCATGGATGATACTTTCACTGCTTTAAAATTTTGCTAATATACGTGTACCTTATATACAATATATATTGAAAGTAATATATCTGAATTTAATATTTATGTAAACTATATTTAATATAAAATCAATAATTTTTTAAATTAGTTAAAAAATATTCAATTTGTAGAATATTTATTACTAAGTAGTACGTTATGTTTAAATAATTCTGCACATTTCATATATAAAAACTTAACTATTCCATTCCCGAAACCACACACAACATCCCAAAGCTAACTTGCTACAAATATATACATATATATAAATACATACATCTATAATAGAACAAGCATCAAAGTGTCAAATTTTAAATACATTAAAATAAATAAATAATTAATAATTACAAATAACATAGAAATTTTATATCACACATAGAATAAATAAATAATTCCCTTTGTACTTTACAAATTGTAAAATTAACTGGAGTGAGCTATATTTGATTTCATATATTTTGTTAATATTTTTATGAAATTCCTTATAACATAATGATAATCTCTAATATTTTGTATGTATTTATATTACTTAAAATATTGTATGTATATTATTTTAAGATCTCACTCTAGCAAAACTAAACAAAATAAAAAAAATTAAATAAACGATAAACAAGCGATTAATCGCAAAAGATATCATACAATTATAAAACATATATTAAGTTATTTACAAACATATACTATATATATATATCTATATGTATACAGATATATGTATATGTATTTCGCTATTTCCTACAAGAAAACATTTTCTTTAAATCTTCCCACTCAAAACAGTAACAATTAAAACTCGCTTGAACGTCTACTAAACTAAACAAAACTAAAGAATTTTTATTACATATTAAATTGATAAGAAATGAAATAATGCAAATTATGTTGGCAGTGCAATAATTTCAAATCTGAAACTTAAAAATACAATTAAAAAATATAGCAGAAACTTTCAATATTATATCTCAGAAAATTATATAGCAGAAAATTGCATAAGTATCGGAAATTAAAGAATTATTTGCGAATGCAAAAAGTTGGAATGAAAAAATAAAATATTTGTTTAAAAAAAAACAAAAATAATAAATTGTGAATAAATATTTAAAATAAAATTGCTTGTGTGTGTGTGTATTATTTTTAAATTGTTAGGCGCGGTCAAGACGAACAGGTGTTTTGGCCGTGGAGATTTTTAATAAAGAACAAGAAATATGAATGGAATAAGAATGCTTTAAGATGGGTATTATTCTAGAGAAATACAAATGGAGAGATAGTTTAGAATGGTTGTATGTGTAGGTATGGGGAGAAGAAGTCTTATGTGGAACAAGGAGGGATGTAGGGAAAGATAGGGATTAACCTAAGGTGCGTTGAGTCTGAGCTTCAAATTTGACAGGATACGTGTTAGATTCCTGGTACTTGCAGTCTCCAAAAAATTATTTACGAATAATTAAATACAAGAATTATTTCCAAGACCACTGATGATGGGAAACAACTGTATGGTCAGCCAAATATTGAATTGGTTAAAATAATATAAATAGAATTTTTATTGTTGTGGTTCAATACTGTTCTAAAAACCTCTTTGGTAAACACTTAATATGCTTATTTAAAACTATTTGTACGTTCAAACACCAACTATCGTAATCAAGTAAGATTTTTACACACCCTTCTTACAGACGATCTACATATATTGTTTTCACACAGAAATCAACAGCTCTAATCTACATACCGCATATGTGTACATACATAAATAGATTTGTTTAGTATGAATTTATTCACCAATAAATATAATCACTTAAGTACAATAACAAACAATTGGTAAGGAATGACATCAAAAACGAGTAAACACGCACAACAATTTTAGACCACAGCGATTGTGGTTACTTTGGTTAACAATAAAAATCCACAGGTTTTGGAAGCAATTTATTAATCGTCTCGTGGTTCTGGATAATATTGTGTTATGAGCTTTGTAATTTCAGTAGCTAATTCTGGTGTAGCTGCCGCCAGCACACGACGTGACATCATATCAAACTTACGACCAGCTGGATCAATAACCACACCACCAGCTTCACGTACAATGATATCCCCTGCACAAACGTCCCAAGCATGTATGCCGAATTCATAGTTAGCATCTGCAGCGCCCAATGCAACCATGCACATATTTAATGCAGCCGATCCTAAGCAGCGTAAGCTAATATTTAAAATTCATTGCTATGGAAACCACTATAAAATATTTGATTTTCTAATTACCCATGTACTTTAGCAGCCAACTTAGCAAAATTCTGATTAACAACTAACATTTTTTCAACATCTCTTGTGGTACCAAATTCGCTAGTAACTAATGATTTTGTTAAATCCCTTTGTCCACTAACTTTAATGCGTCTTCCATTGTAAAGAGCACCTTGACCACGACGTGCAGTAAAGAATTGTTCCAGTATCGGATTATATACAACACCAATTTCGGTTACTTTATTTATAACAAGTCCTATTGAAATGCATGAATGCGGAAAAGAGTGTACAAAGTTCATAGTACCATCGACTGGATCTATTATCCAAGTGGGATCATTAGTTAACTTTTTTGGTGAACCACCAGCACTACTTTCCTCTTCAGCAATAAATCTATAATAATTATAAAAATCAATATAAACTTTTATAATTAAATATGCATATATACTTATGGTCAGGAAATGCATGGGCTAAGCCTATCATGAGCATTTGTTCGACTTGTTTATCAGTTTGAGTTACCAAATCAATATCGTCTGCCTTCAGCTCATATTCCTGACGCAACTCACTGCGGCGTCTAATAACCTGTTATAATAATATGAGGCATCTGTTTTATGTACACAAAAAGACATTTTATTATATATTGAAGCACTCACATCGCCAGCTGCTTTCACATGTTTCACCACGACCTCGAAACATTTATCCAAATCGTGTACATCAGTGTCAACCATCTTGCAACTTCAAAAATTTTTTTTTTGACTACACGAAATTTGCAATTATTTACACGAATTTAAGTTTATAATATGACAAATTACAATTTAAAGCACACTCAACAAACCCTTACTGATAAGTAACACTGAAGTACAATTTAATTAAATTAAAGCATTTTCTTAAAAAATCTGAATTTATTTCAAAAACAACTTACTGGCTGCCAGCTGATAGTGTTGCACTGAACTGTACTCTGCAAATAGTAGTAAATTTAATGAGCATTTGCAATGGCTCTCAAACAGTCATTCGATTAATTTAAAAGTTTTGACGGAACTCATATAAAATAAGTTGACAAGTAATTGATTGAGAAGTTGACAGAAAATACTACCGATATCTACAGCAAATGTTTATAAAATTTTACAATATGAATTTTACCAACAACACCAAGTATCAGATAATTTAAGCTCGAAGAAAAGCTGCATGTAACATGCGATACGTTTGTCATTGAATGCACATTAAATGAATATAAATGAACGTAATAAAATAGGCCTTTTCGGTGGCTCGCAAGTATGGCAAAAAACAAGAAGTTGCTGGCCTATACTAGCCGAAATGTGCGCAAAACAACAACAACACTATTTTCTCTACCTCGACTTGTGTAGGTACGCTGGAAAAGCACATCGGGTGGAAACAAAGTGTTACCAACGCAATAAGCGAACTGTTGTGAATCTTCATTAGAAACTCCAATCAATATTGCAATTGTATGTCAAACATCATATGTGAACAAAAATTCAAACAAAATACAAAAATTTCATAAATTTGAATATTGGAAAAAAAGAAAATTTCAGTGTTTCATTTTGAAATTTTCAACATTTTTACCATTCCTTTTAATTTTGTATTCAATTTCATTTTTAATTTATGTTAATTATTTATTTTTATACAAAATCTATTTTCTTGCATTATGCTATTTTTACTATTTGCCAAAACATAACACTTGACAGATTCCAACAGTGTTGCCAATGTCTGGCGTAGTGAATATAGGCCAGCATGCATTTTTTGCCATACTTGCGAGCCACCGAAAAGGCCTAATATTAAGTAATAAAATAAGAAATATTTTGTGATTCGTCTGGTTAAAATTCTATATTTACTTCAATCCTGCTACATTTCGCACTATTCAAAAAATATAATAATTAAAAGTCATTCTTAAAAATTAAAACATTTATATGACTTTATTTAAATAACATTATCTTATTAATTCAGAATATATTCAGGATAATTTTTTTGTTTTTGTAAACTATAAGTAATTATAATTTATTCTTAAAAATAAATAAACCTTTAGCCAAAACTATTTCAACGGCATAACAATTCATTCTATACATTTAAAAATAACGGATCGCATCTAGTCCATTAAAACATTTATCTAACATAATATATGTTATATATTATACCATAAGTTGTTTATACAAATATTTTCAGGAATAACAGTTTAATATAATATAATTTTTTAATTATGAAGAATTATTTTCATTTAGTCTCTTACTTTATATAAAATATTTTTTGTTAATACAACAAAAATGATATGTATTCGTTGCTGAATAGTCGAATTTTACTTTCATATATCCTAAATTTGTATTTATCTAAAAGCTTTATATACTTTGATATGTATTTATATAGCACTTATTTATATATCAATATAATTATATATATTTAGTAAGTATTTGTGTATATCTTTCTATAACATTCTAAACATGTTTTCCAACTTCTTCGATTCAAAAATATACTTATAGTCTCTTGAATTCATTATCATAGTTAACACTGATTTTCTTAGATCATATAGCACTAAACCACAAAATGGGCCTTTCTACTATCATAAAAAATTATGATTATAAATGGAGTTGTAGAAATACTTCTCCAGAATTACTCGACATACTCAAAATAGCGGCTTTATGAACTTTATGAATTAATTTAATTTTTAATGTTTCATTTAATAGCAGAACATTTAACATATGGTTCAGTGAATTCATAGAATACTAAGAAATATTAAGAACTATATGTCATATAGGACCTAAGAAATGTACGGGTGCTTATTTCATTGCTAAAAATTAAAATTTAGTTCCAACAGCTATCAGCACCAGGCTCTGTTAATGATAGATCGGCACGATGATAATGAAATGAATGATAACATAGTAGATAGTAGATACGATGATATTCGAAAAAATTATTGAGAAAGAAAAAATCAAAATATTATTTTTCCTGTACAAAGTATCGCAAAATATAAGTACAATGGTTACTATCAGTTAAAACAGTTGAATTAGTTAGAGATAAGTTGCCAATATGTCAACTAACTCTAGCGATATTACTATTACTTATAACATCAACAAAATAACTCAACAAATCCTAATAATTTGGGAAAGAGCATGTGTTGGCGCATTAGTTCATTTCTGATTTCTGTGAGTCCCAAGTTAACTGATTGTTTCTTCTTGATAAGGTGTTGAGAAACGCTTGTCTATTATGTGTATATTATGTATATATGTATATATATATAAGAGATATATATATAAGAGAGTTAAGAGATTCAGTTGAAGTTTTTCAATAATATCATCTCAAACAAATTATTTTCTACAAAGAACCAAATAATAGTTTATTGAATATTGACTATAAGGGCTAGTATTGAGTTGAATATAAAAGCAGAGCATGGTTCAATTAAATGCATATCTACTAGATAAGATCTATGTGTTGAACATCCCAAAAATTTAAATATATAATCAAGCTGTTTCAAAGATATCGATGGAAAAATTAGAAAATCAATAAGACCCTGACATTTGAAGTCCCGTATTACCTAAGTGGTATCAATTTTTCGATCTCCTTTACTGGATTCAAGTAAAGTTTTTAATTCCCCAGCGAAACATTTGAAATGAATTACCCAAGTGCTTACATATTGCAATGCATTTACGCATTGGCGTCTTGTGATGGAAATGTAATGCAAAAACCACTAAATTTCAAGTAAATAATAATTCTACTATATATAAAATATGTCTTATAGGTTATAGGAATTGGCAACACAATACTTAAGAACATTAGTGGAAATATAACCAATAATGCATTTATTTTCTACTGTACTGGTGATAATACCTCAAGTAATGCTTTAGCTTCACTAACATGCTTATATTAGAAGAATTCGTTTTAAAATGTAAATTATAATACATGCAAACCTAAATGTGGCATTATCTTCCAGATTTCATGTTTCTGATAATCTTATAAATTTTATGTCAAATATGAAGAAATAAATAAAGAAACAGAAAATATAAATATTCAGGTAAATAGTCAAATGATTGTATATCACATTAACATTTTTAAACATCTGTAGAGCATAGATAATGGCATATATAATCTTCCCAATCAATATGTTTTTGTTTCATTACTAGATAAGAGATGTTATTACTATATCCTTATGAGTTTCTTCATATTTGAACTTGATGTATATAGACCTTATAAGCGATGTAGACCTGTTTTCAAAATATTTTTATTATATATCTGTGTACTATATATAGACTATACAGATTTTGTTCCAATTGTATATTTCATGGTTCTATGTTTATATCACAAATGTGTTCAAAGACATAAATATAAGTGAAGTGATATTAAATCAGGCACGAAGTCAAGGTGGGACTGTAAAAGCTGAAGCCACTCCAAAACGAATCTAACGACTATATGTGTATATATGTATTTTCTTTATTAATGCATCCTGACAAGATTCATTGCTAGAGATTCAATGCAAGATTTAATGCATCCTGACAAGATTCAATGCTAGAGAAATGTATGGTCAGTTTAGCGTTTTTTTTGAAAGTGAGCCACCCGGCCCTTGAGTTAATTTCTGTTTAAGTGCCTTATCAATATGTATGGATATATAATTTTTGTATCACCTGTCCTTCATATGTCTGATGTCTGCTTCTTTTTTCATTTTTATTGAGTTTGCCAAATCTTATTTGTGTAGATATATATACTATTAGTGTTAAAAACACAACTCTTGGATGAGATCACTGCTCTCCAGTACGTGTATTGATCTTGAAGTATGGGATGGTATAGAGTGGAATAGAGTGTGTCGTAGGGTGGAGTATGTAAAAACAGATAATGCCAGTTTTATTCTACATATTCGAATATAATGTGCGAAAATTTTATGTGCTTAGTAAGACAAGTCTTATAGAACCCGTTTGTGCTCTAATTACTAATTATTAATGACAGTGCATGAAAACTAGAGAGTAATGTAAATAAAATAAAATGATGTGTTCTAGGTTTTAAATATATTGTTTGTGTATTTTGATAAGATATCCGATAAAATTAAACATTTATCACATTAAATATGTAAAAAGCCATTACATTACTGTAACAACAATTAGTTTTAAACAACTTAATTACTTTGTAAACTAAATTTCTTGATTACTTAAATAAACACAAATTACTAAAACAATATTAAAACATTAACTACATGCAATTTACAGTGTAAACTACTTTGAAAAACACTAAAAAATTAGTGCAACTTACAAAAATATCTATGTAAAAAAATTAAAACTAAGCATATCTCATATACATATATATTATATACTAAAAAACACATTAATATATGTGTACATGTGCTCATTGTAAAATTAAAGTACTGAAGTAAACTAATCTAAATATAGAGAAGGAGATTTTTAACAGATATACATACATACATACTCGTACATGTCGAGAAGATTAGCCTAACCCTTCTTAAAAGAATGTGTCTAGCAGCAGTAGAGCAGATAAATGCCGAGAGAAGCGTAGTAGTAAGGCCATTTATAGTGCTTATATTTTTTTTTGTATGGTAAATAGTACTACCTGTCTTCTCTTATTTAAAACTTAAATAATATTATTAACAAAAATAGCATTCATTTACAACGCGCCTGTTTGACAAGCCAAGTTAGTCAAATATGTCCTCCAGTACGCCTGTCCGTCTGCTAATGTGTCTACTTAGCTTCTTGTGGCCGATTTGCAAATAACTGATCAACGATATGTTCATCTGCTAATGTCGAGGTATCGCCCACATTGCGATCGTTAACTGCCACTTTGCGAAGGACGCGTCGCATGATCTTACCAGAGCGTGTTTTCGGTAGGCCGGGCGCATTTTGTATAATGTCGGGCATTGCAAAGGGGCCAATACGTTCCCTAACAAGCTTTTTCAATTCGGAAACCATCTTCTTATCGAAAACTTCATTTTGATTTGGTGTGATGAAGCAATATAGGCATTCGCCTTTCACTGGATGTGGACGTGAAACCACAGCGGCTTCAGCAACACGTGTATGTTCTGTCAACACGGACTCAACCTCTGCAGTCGACATTAGATGTCCAGATACATTCAACATGTCATCAACTCGCCCTGTAATCCACAAATAACCATCTGCATCACGACGTGCACCTAAATAAGGATAAAAAATAAAATTAACTTGATCTGATGAAGAATTTAGAATTATTTTAACCGCTTACCATCTCCAGTGCAATAATATCCTGGAAACTTGGAGAAGTACGTATCTTCGAAACGTTGATGATTGTTAAATAATGTGCGCATTATGCCTGGCCAAGGTTGTGAGAAAACCAGATAACCCTCTCCTTCACCATTGATTTCCACACCACTTTCGTCAAGAAGAATAGGTTTTACACCAAAGAATGGGAATGACTGTGCAGAAAACGTGTTAGATTTGAAATGCATCATTTACTAAGGACAAATTAACTTACAGCTGAACCCGGTTTCATCGGTGTTGCACCTGGTATTGGTGTTATAACGTGTCCACCTGTCTCTGTTTGCCAAAATGTGTCCACAATTGAACATTTCTCTTTGCCAATGTAGCGATAATACCAAAGCCAAGCTTCAGGATTAATAGGTTCACCGACACTACCCAGAACTCTGAAAAGAATGCATTAATAAATCAGATTTATTGGTTAGTCTACAACTAATTCAGAAAGCTTACTTTAAACCACTAAGCTTGTGCTTCAACACTGGTTGTTCTCCAAACTTCATTAGGGCACGTATAGCTGTGGGTGCAGTGTAGAATTGTGTAACCTTGTATTTGTCAATCACAGACCAATAACGATCATTATCAGGATAAAATGGAGTGCCTTCAAACTAAAAATATGTAGTAGTTAGATATTCAACCTCTGTTATTTAGTATATCAATTTAAACTCACCATAACTGAAGAAGCACCGTTTGCCAAAGGACCATATACGACATATGTATGTCCAGTAATCCAGCCAATATCAGCAGTACACCAATATATATCGCCAGGCTTATAATCGAAAACAATTTTAAATGTAGTTGCCGCATAAAGTAAATACCCAGCTGTAGTGTGCAATACACCTTTGGGTTTGCCAGTAGAACCACTTGTATATAACATAAATAATGGATCTTCAGCATCCATCCATTCTGGGTAACACGCAGGTTCTTTATCTTCCATTTCCTCATGCCACCAATAATCACGATCATCAGTCCATGGTATGTCTTCTTCAACATGATTATCTTGACAAGGTGTTACACGCTTTAAATGAGAAACCACAATACATTTCTCCACCGAATGTCCCAGTTCTTCACATTTTTCCAAAGCAACATCACAGAGCGCCTTCAGGTACAAAGGTTTTTCACCGCGCCAAGCGCCATCGGCAGTTATCAAAACTTTTGCCTTGCAGTCAAACATACGTTCCGCCAGAGAATCTGAAGAGAAGCCGGCGAATACAATGGAATGTACTGCACCAATACGTGCACAGGCAAGCATAGCGATTGGCAGTTCAAGTATCATGGGCATATAGATCGAAACACGATCGCCTTTCTGTACGCCATGGTCCTTCAGCACATTGGCAAAGCGGCAGACTTCCTCCAGTAACTTTCGGTAGGTGAGGCCACGCGAATAATCATCAGGGTGATTACCCTCCCTAAAATATAGCAATAAGAACAATATAAGTCTATATAAAGTTTTCCGGTTGCAAAATTAATAAAAAAACGAAAATAAAGAAATGCGGAAAATCTCATTTCTCATTGTGGCAAAATTTTGGCTCAACTCCAAGAATAAAGATCAGCACAGATGCATGGATGGTGCGGACAGGATGAAATGTATGACACGTGTAATTATTAATTCAATTACCGTAATTGTATAAAATTGATGAGCAATTATGCTCGACCAGAACATTGCATTGCACCCACTCTTAGAAGAATACCAGTATCTACTGCTTCATTAAATAATTTGCTCGTCGTACCACAAAAAGTATGTTTAGTGGACCTACGATGGTTTCGGTTTCTATATCAAATACTAGAAATAGTAATTATAATTATATGGTGATTATAATTATAATTGTATAAATTGCATTTATTTAAGCTAATTAAAAATTGTTTCCAATTGTAAATATGTTTAGTGCTTATGTGCTTATGTGCTTACGTGCTTATATAAAGTAAATACTCGCATAATTTACTCGCTTGCTTCAGCTTCAAATGTGGACGAACTTTCTGGGTGTCAAAGTAGAATTGAAATCAATTTGCAACTTAGCAACAACAAAATAGTAAGTATTATAACAATACAAATAAAATAAAAACAAATGAATTGCATAAATTGAGTTTGTCGATATTTACTGTGCTGTGCTGTTTTAAGTCCACATATGTCATAAATATGTATATGGCAGTATGGCAGTATACACTTGCCCGCATTCCTCTACATACATACATGCATGCATACGAAGTTCTATACGATGAAGACTTTTGCATATTCAAAGTCAACCACAGCCTTTCTGAGCTTCTATTCACTCCACAGTTTTTATTTCTACACTATTCAGCGGTTCAATTTTAAATTCGTGACCCACAGACAGACCGACTCACGAACTCACCTGTCTCATCAGGCCATGTCACGTTGTGAAGGCAACTATTCCATTGCTTATGGAACTTTACTTGAGGAAGGAAACTTAAGTTGAACTTGAATTGTTTTACAATACAAATCAGTTTGTTTCATTAGAAAGCAAATAGTAATAAACCATAGAGTTAAATTTAGATAAAACTACAATGTCATCGAGTCACATTATTACAGTGAAATGAGAACAGAATGCACGATGAAGCACACACCTTACTTCTCCAAAAATATTTTCATTAATAATGCTTTCTGCGCGCAATATTAGTGAGATGTGAACTATGGTTCCAGATATTTTCATAGTTTCGTTATTATTCTTCCCTTAAATTGTCGAAAGACTTGGTTAAGGCAATGCAAACGAAATTTCAGAATGGTCCAAAAACAATGGTAAATATCACAGTCTACTTTTGAAAGTGTTTGAAGGGAATAAAATATATTAATAATCCTTCCAATATAGATCACTTTTAATACAAAATTTTATGTTCTAAAAGAAAGAATACCTTATCGATAGGTGAATACAAAAGCAAATTCAAAAAAAAAATAGAAAAAGAATATTTTGCAAACCTTAGTCTAAAGAATTGATTAAAACCAGCAATCCCACACATCAATCATTTGGTATCAATATAAGTGATCCCATAAACCTGAGGGTCTAAAACCACCTCTTGGAAATGAATGCAGATGATTTCCACAGAAAGAAGAGAGTAAATAAGCTTAATACCTAGCAGGCTAATTGTATATATCTTGATATCTTAAAAAAGAAGAAATCATTTCTTACTAGTGAATCCACTTTATGTCCACAAAGCTTGAAATACGTGCTTCTTGTAGAAATTTTTTGCAAAGACAACTCGGACAACAAAGACTGTACTACAGACCCAATAATGCAGTATCTCTAATTAGCATAAGAGATCTCAAGCCTTCCCTTGTAAAGTTATCTTCTCTTATTATAATCTTTCTTAACTCATATTTATTTTTAATTCTAATCACTTTCCACTTTCTTCCCTTTCCTCAAGTAACTCATTACTTGTCACTTATGACTTGAGTATTATTTCACCTAGTTTTGATAACCTTGAAAAATTATCGACTGCGAGAGGTGACTAAAGAAGAGTGATTAATTAATTGGTTTATTTGGCTATAAAGATGACGTAGTGCGTTCTATTATTTAAAGCAAATATTGGATACTTCGACCAAAGTACATCGCAATGGCAACACAATGGCAGGGGAGGCGAATATGGAGACGAAGTGTCTTTGTCTAACGTTAAATCGCTTAAGATTATGAAATGCAAAGTGCTTTGCAGTGAGAATTTTATTTAAAAATAAATAGAAGAGTCTGTTCGGTTCGATGAAATTTTGGAGAGGAACAAAGTAATGGGAAGTGAGATAACTTATTTTATTTCTAAATCATTTTCAATATTTTTGTTTTGTTATATATTATATGGATTTTAATAATTTAAAATAATTTTTTGTTATTTTTTTGTGTTTTAAAGTGTGTGCTAATAAATACTGAAAACACTTAAGGTTTGGGCTATTAACGCGGTACATTAGACATTCGACATGCACGTTTTATTTAAATTATATCAAAACACCTATTGTAATCTGTATGAAGCTAATAAGTAGAAGTATCTAAGTTGTTGTTTTATTTCACTACAATATCTACAACAAATGTTGTTTGTGCCTATCAAACGACTAGACTGATAAAGACTCAGAGACTCAGAGATACGATTGTCATGATAAGAGTTTATCACCGATTATAAATGAAATAAGCAAACCCAAATTGCCGAAATAATCGTGTACTAATATCGAAGGTTGAACGTAAATCTAATGCATGAAAAATGTTGGAAAATTGAATAAGTAAATAGTATCTCATAATAAAAGCAATCATAGTACTATGAGCTACTGGAACAGACAAAATTCATAAAGACAAACTTAATCACCATATTTATTGTATAGTAATGATAGCAAAATAAACAGATAATAATATAAATGAAACAATTTACTGGCTATTACCAAATCAAAATATTATCTCCCACAGATACTTATGCATAGATACATTCCATGCACGAGTATCTACAATAAATGTGTTTGATATTTGCGTGTATTTAAATTCTGTATTTATTATTTAATTTCAAAATTGCAATTCATTTCGAAGTAACAAACAATTTAAAACACTTATTAGCCTCTTAACTGTTTGTCTGTCTGTTATGATTCATTAGCAATGTATCTAGGTAAACTATCTCACATCAGAGGTGAGAGTGAAGCAAGCACGTTTTGTCAATCAAGCAATCCTTATCTAAGAGTTTACAAACGCCAAATTACTTAGCTGAGAAATTAAAGAAAAAATATTTAAATTTGTTTTTGGAATTGTGCAGTAAACAAAAATTGCTCGCCGGCTTTTGGAATCCCTCTCCCTCCCTCCTACCTTACAATATTAATGCTCGACACTCTATACTCATAGATACAGATACTGGCGTCTCTTAAAAGAACTCAGGAGTTCAGCGTCAAATTACTCTTCAAATTTCGCTTCAAACAAATTTGGCAGGCAACTCATTGCGCTCACGCAAATCTGCGAAACGATAAGAATTAGGGGCAGCAGGGGACGTCTAGACATCGCATGTTAGAGGAAGAATTCTTCTGTTATTGGTTGTTAGTTATCAGGCGATTCTGATTTTTTCCCTGCTGGAAATTCAATTCCATATAACATGGAAGAGTTAAGCAGAGTTCCATTCAGTCAGTTTTTGTTCTCCGTAATGGGTGCGAAAATAATTAAATATTTATGTTTATACACATTTCTTTTATTATTCTTGTTTACCCGTGAGTACTTTGTTTTCTAGCGCATAGGCTACATATATAAGAGGATTCCGAAGAGTAACCTAAACTATTTTTGTTTATTCCATTTAAGAGTAGAAATATATTTTATTGGATTATTTTTTTTTATAAAGCAATAAATTATTAAATAAAATAGCAATAATATCAGTAGAACAGATACTTATATTTTGATTCAAATTTTTTTATATGTTCAGGACACCTATAAAGCTTATTTCCATATAATAGCTTTCATATTTCTTTAGGTAAATGAGAACAGAAGAAACACGATTAAAATTATTTACTATTTGGTATAAGCCGAAATATAATAAATATTCTTTCGTCATAAAAAGACACGCCATTATCGGCAAGAAAAAATTTACCTTATAATAAATATCCATTAATTATAAGTCCCCACATAACTACCCGAACCTAAATCGATAACTGATTTCAATAATAAAAAATAATTATCGTTAAGGTCCTTTCAACCATTTATAAAGGATATTTTTTATGAAAAGTTGAACCACATTATGGTTGGTGTGTAATTGGTTGTATTACAAAATGGTATAATGATAGTTGATAAAAAAACATCCATTTGTAATAGAAGTGTTTCGAAACTTTTATTACAACTGAATTTGACAAAACCCATGCCCAGTGAAAGTCAAATACTTACATAGAGCAGCCTATTGAAAATAACGATGCGATGAATATTCAAAAATGAGTGAAGAGGTTACAAATAGTAGAGAGATCAATAGATCGTTGCACAAACTCGATCAATTGCCGAATATCGTCTGCTCTAATAAAAAAATTTCTCAATAGAGTCTTTTATAAATACACGAAATCATCGATTTTACTTGACAAAGAGGCTATGACAAAACTTTTTGACAACTTTTTGTACTAATTTGGTCAGACCTGCCAGTGTCTACCAGAAAAACCTATTAGATACTGCTTTGGGACCGTTGGCAGCCAAACATTTCGATGAGGGACACAGAACATTTCAACAAGATTCTACACCGTTTCATAAAACATACGCGAATTATCGATGACTATAAATCAACGTTATATACCTAATATCGATTGCAGGGTAACTTCAATAGTTACCAGATGGAAAACTCGGAAATAATTAATTTATGAGTGTTGATATACTCAATAAAACCCTATTTCAAGAATAGATTAAGCATCTTTCTATCATTGCTTTCTGAATTAAAGGCTTATTCAAATCCACTTCGATATATTTCCATA